GAGCCTTCCTTGTGGTTTCCTGCCGTGTAGCGGTATGGCGTGGAGATGATGATCGGCGTGAGTGCGAAGCGCTTGGCGATGGTATCGGCGTATTTTGCGGCGCTGAGGTAGATTGCATTTTCTTCTTCCTGGATGTTGAGGCCGAGGTACTGTGTGACAGTGGATGAGACCGTGAGTGTGAGATCCTTTTGTAGCTCCCCTTCGAACCAGGTAGTGACGCTGTCGGTTGAGCCGATGTAGAGCAAATCGTCTACGTAGACGATTAGCAGGATGTAGTCGGTTCCCTTTGTGAGCCGGTACATGCCTTGGTCGTGAGGTAGCTGACGGAATCCGATGCGAGTGAGTCTTGCGTGTAGGTACTGCTGCCACAGCCTTGGGGCTTGTTTGATACCATAGAGCGACTTCAACAGCTGACAGACTTGGTTAGGCTCTCCGATGGAGCCGTGCGGTAGCTCGACGAAGATTTCTGCGTCGACAGGTGCGTAGAGAAATGCGTTGGCGACATCAATTTGCCGCAGCTTCTTCTTCTTCATGGCGGCGATCGCGAGAAGAATTCGTAATGATGTGTGTCGGCTGACTGGAGCGAACGTCTCAGTGAAGTCGCGCCCATGTTCTTGGTCGAAGCCGCGTACGACCCAGCGTGCTTTGAACTTGTCGATGGTGCCGTCCGCCTTTGTCTTCACACGGAAGACCCACTTCCCGGTGAGTATAGTCTTGTTTCGTGCCACTCCGATGGGAACAACTTTCCAGGTGTTGCGTTCCTCCAGTGCTTTCAGCTCCTTGTCCATGGCTTCGCGCCATTTTTCCTTATGCTCCCCCCCCAGAGCCTGCTGAACTGTAGCAGGCTCCTTAGGAATGGTTGCGCCGTGAACCGCGGTGACGAGGCCAAGTATTTGGAGTCCACTCTGTGTGTAGCGGGGGAGTGTTGTGTCCTCGGGATAAACTGCTTCATCTCCCGCTTCTGGTGTTGGGTTGAAATTTGGTCCTACGCGTTCGGCTTCGTCGGTGTTGACTTGTGCAGGTGTAACGTAACCGTTATCGGCGAAGTGATAGTACACTTCGGCGTTGATGCTGTCGCGTGGATTTTCGTCGTCCATCGGGACATCAACCGAGCAGTAGGGGAGAGGTCCGGCTTCCTCCGAGGCTCCTTCCACGTTTTGCTCGTCCAGGTCAGCTTCATCTTCTGCCGAAGCGAAGGCTCGGTCCCCACGAAATCCACCTGTGACATCTCGTGAGGTCTCCAAGTTGTACAGGTACGTTGAGAGGGTGAGGCGCTCGTAGAAAATGACATCACGTGCTGCTACTGTTTCCTTTGAGTGGACGTCAAAAATCTTCCACGCGTTGTAATTCTTTTCGATGCCCAGGTGTAGCCCCCACTGTGCGCGTTGTGAGAATCGGCCAGCGCTGCAGCTGGGGGTCGGTACTGTACCATGCAGCCGAAATTCCGCAACATTTTTGTGCTGCCCAGTTTTCCTGTCCATAGCAGGTGCGGTGATGCGTTGTTCGGAAGCGATGATGACGAAAGCAAGTTGTGCAGCATCACGGCGTGGTCCATTGCCTCGGGCCACTGGTGGTTGGGTAGCCGCATGCCACGTAGCAGCTTGCGCATGGTGTTCTGAAGGGTCCTATTCATTCTTTCTGCCACACCTTGCTGTTGATGGGCGTAGGGAAGGGAGATGAGCCGCTTGATTCCTCTCTCTGCCAAGTACTGCTTGAACCTCTGTGAGGTGTATTCTCCTCCTCCGTCAGACTGAAAACTCTTCAGCTTAACTCCCGATTCCCGTTCTGCTACTGGGAGCCAGGCTACGAAGGCTTCGAATGCCATATCGCGGCTTGGAAGGTTGAGATGCCAGACATAACGAGTGGCGGCGTCGATGAACGTGATGGTGTAGTTGTATGCCTCTTGTCCAGGTTCGCGATTGTACAGGATGTCGCTGTACACCTTTTCAAGTGGTGCGTAAGCTGGTGCGCTTGGGTTGTGGTGAGAGACGAAGGGCTGATGCGGTAAGTCGGCTTCTGGATAGGTGAAGCAGGTTCCTCTCATTCGTCGAAGTTCTCTGCCGTCGGGTAGAAGTAGTGAATCTTTGTCAAAAACGCCTGCTCTTATCGTGTTGTTTAACGTCGTGTTGCTCGGATGTCCCATTCTTTTATGCCAGAGATCTTCGTCGGCGCGATGTGCGGGTGAGCGTCTGTACAGATCGGAGTTGGAATAAAAACTGGCGGTGAGATTCGTACTTCGGTGGACTTCTCGAGGAGTTGGATTCAGCTGCTGCGCTGGAGTCGGTGGGGTGTCGTCGTCGATTGGGGCTGGTGCAGTTGAAGGACCCGCGATTGGTGCCGATGTTGTCTCTGCTGCTGCTGGTGTTGTCTCTGCTGCTGCCGATGTTGTCTCTGCTGCTGCCGATGTTGTCTCTGCTGCTGCCGATGTTGTCTTTGCTGCTGCCGATGTTGTCTCTGCTGCTGCCGATGTTGTCTCTGCTGCTGCCGAGTGTTGAATCGTTGCTAATGCTCTTGTTAGTTCTGCCTCAGGAATGGTATGCGAATACCAGAAACCTTCGGGGCTGAAGTCAGGATCAAGATCCGGTGGGTGCGTCCAGGAGGTGAAGGTGACGATTCCGTCGCTGTCGGCGGTGCCTAAATCTGGAACGAAGTCGAGGACGAACACGTTGTTCTTCAGCACGGCCTTGCCGATGTAAAGGCCTCCTTTCCCGTGGTACAGTTTGAACTCCTGTGTTGTGCTGTCTGCTTCGAGGTGGATGCCTTTCGCCATCAGCCGACTGACGCTTAGTAAGTTGTAGCCGAGTCCCTCCGCGATTAGAACCTTTGACATCTGTAGTATAACGTTTGTCTCCCTTGACTGAAGTTGAACCACGCCTTGTCGTCGTGTGCGCAGGTTTTGATTGTTGGCGACGGTAATGACGACTTCGCGTTGAAGTTGGTGCTCGCGCTGAACGAAACGTCCCGAAGAGCACATGTGCTGCCCGCAGGAACTATCCAAGAACCAAGTATCTTTCCCGGACGGCTCACTTTGGGCAATGGCTGCGTATGTCGGGTTCGGCTCCAGTGTCTCGCGGCGAGGAGTGGATTCTTCGAGTTGTTCTTCTGGTGAATAGTACGGTGGTGATTCGGTGATGCAAGAGTCGGAGAGTCTTGTCATACAACTGACGATGTTTCTTGCTCCTTGTGAACGTTGTCCCGTTGATGTTGATTGAACTTGAGCGGTGGGGTTCGCTTGTGTTGAAGCGACTTGGCTGCTTGAAGGTCGAAGCTGGCGTTGCGGCGGTGTTGACTGCTGTCGATTCGGGCAGTGTGTGCGAGGGTATCCTGAAGTCTTGCAGAGATGACAAAATGGAGGTACGGGTTTTGGTTGATGCCGATTGTTGTTGTTGTTGTAGCGCCGTTGAGTGTGAAACGCAAATTCGGGAACTGACGTTTTCTTCTTGTGCCGCTCCTCTTGCTGCTCGGCGTGAATTTCGGCGCAGAGTGCTGCTTCGGAGATCTTCCCGTGAGCTCGGAGTATGGCGCGAGTGGAGCGCCAGTGTGGACCAAGACCGCCGATAACAACTGTGACGAAGACGTCTTCTGATATCGATCCTCCACATCGAAGGAGTTTGTCGCGCAATTCGCGGCAGCGACTAATATACGCCATCCCTTTTTCGCCCGGTTTCATTTCCACTGTTGTCAGTTGCGCCATTAACCGACTCTGATTGACGCTGTCTGTTGCTTGATACAGGTTCTTCAGGTGGTTGTACGCGAGTTCGGCGGAGTTGCCGTATCCTCGATAAGACCGGATGTTCTGCTATTGGGTTGGCGTGACGTTGCGTAGTAGAATTGTGTATGCCATCATTGACTGATAGGTGTACTGCTGCTTCTCGTACTGTGTGCCGTTTGTTGGGTATGGCAGGGATCCGTCGAAGAAGCCGAGGATTTGCGCGCCTTCCATCATCAGCTCGAACTCGAATGACCAGGCAAAGAAGTCCTTTCCGTCGAAAGGTCTTGACGTCTGCAGCTTCAGAACGTGCGCGAACTGCGACTGAACTTGTAGCGCGTCCAGTGTCTTCTCTTGTCCAGGTGCAGGCTGCGTTTGTGGCATAAAGCTGACGGAGCCGCGCTGGGGCTCGTACGGAGCAAAGGTAGGTTGCTGCTGTTGATTTCCACGTGCGTAGGATGAACCATCAAGGCTCATTGGAGTCACGTCGTTGTTGTTGTTGCTAATGTTTGACTGCGCAGGTGCCGTTTGTTGATGTTGCTCGTAGAAGGACATGAAGGAGAAGAACTTCTCCATCATGCTTGGGTCAAAGCCTACAGGTTGATTCGCAGGAGTCTCAGTAGACGTTGCTCTTGGTCTTGTTGCCGTACCCTCCTCTGTCTGTAGGCCAGAGGCAGGAGGTGGAGTAGGAGTAGTACCCGGGGAGCCGTTAGAGGAGCTCCTTTCCTTTTGTGTTGCCATGCCTTCTGACGTTGTAGATAACTTGATGGTAGTTGAGTTCGCCCTGTTTGCTCTCATACCATGTTGGGCTGAGAAAATAGCCGTTAGGATCTTTGCAGGACTAAACTCTGAGTAGGATTTGATGTAATAGCGGAAGCGTTTTAACGATAAGTCTGTGAACCACCTTGCGCTAGTATGTGAGGGCAAAGTTGATTGATTAAAGCAAATAGATACAAGATTATATAAGAGTACAAGGAATACGAAGGGATACGGTTGCAACTACTTTACTGTTGCTGTTGCGGTTTGATGCAGTGATGTCTCGGGCAACTGCTCTGTAGCGAGTCAGTTGTGTGTCCTTGCTGTCGTGCTGTACTTGTCAGGTCAAAGGTCGCTGACCTTTGACTTTCGCGTAACCTCCAGCAACTGCTCAACCTCCGAGGGTTGACTCGCCAGTGCTTCGATATGCTTTGCTTCGCTTCTGACTTGGTGTTTCGACACGACAGAGGCGCTCGCAATTAATTGTTTCCAACAAAAAGTAAGGGGAATCACTCAACTCGAGAAGGGAACAAAGCTAGGGGATGTGTGTGTAATGTTGCTTCCCGGTTTTGTCTGCTACACTGCAAGCAATAAACCAGGCTGTGGTAAAGCCACATCTGGTGCTGGGCACCTGTAACTGCATTGGGGGGTATGGGGGTGAGTGAAGGGGGAAAGACAGTAAACGGAATGAGCAGAAGGGAAGAGAAGAAGCAGCGGGGGACAAATTGAGCAGAGGGGAAGAGAGGAACAGGGGGGAACAGAATGAGCAGAAGTGAAGAGAGTGAGCAAGGGGGAAGAGAGTGAGAAGAGAAGAAGGGAAGGGAGCAAGGGTGAAACAGAGGGAGCAAGGGTGAAACAGAGGGAGCAAGGGTGAAACAGAGGGAGCAAGGGTGAAACAGAGGGAGCAAGGGTGAAACAGGGGGAGCAAGGGTGAAACAGACGGAGCAAGGGTGAAACAGAGGGAGCAAGGGTGAAACAGAGGGAGCAAGGGTGAAACAGGGGGAGCAAGGGTGAAACAGAGGGAGCAAGGGTGAGCAGGGAAGGGGATGGGGGGAAGCAGGGAACGGGATGGGGGGAAGCAGGGAAGGAGATGGGGGGAAGCAGGGAAGGGGATGGGGGAAAGCAGGGAAGGGAATGGGGGGAAGCAGGGAAGGGGATGGGGGGAAGCAGGGAAGGGGAAGAGGGGAAGCAGGGAAGGGGATGGGGGGAAGCAGGGAAGGAGATGGGGGGAAGCAGGGAAGGGGATGGGGGGGAGCAGGGAAGGGGTTGGGGAGAAGCAGGGAAGGGGTTGGGGGGAAGCAGTGAAGGGGTTGGGGGGAAGCAGGGAAGGGGATGGGGGGATGCTGGGTGGGGGATGGGGGGGAGCAGGGAAGGGGTTGGGGGGGAGCAGGGAAGGGGTTGGGGGGGAAGCAGGGAAGGGGATGGGGGAAAGCAGGGAAGGGAATGGGGGGAAGCAGGGAAGGGGATGGGGGGGAGCAGGGAAGGGGAAGAGGGGAAGCAGGGAAGGGGATGGGGGGAAGCAGGGAAGGAGATGGGGGGAAGCAGGGAAGGGGATGGGGGGAGGCAGGGGAGGGGATGGAGGGAAGCAGGGAAGGAGATGGGGGGAAGCAGGGAAGGGGATGGGGGGAGGCAGGGGAGGGGACGGGGGGAGGCAGGGAAGGGGACGGGGGGAGCAGGGAATGGGATGGGGGGATGCTGGGAGGGGGACGGGGGGAAGGAGGGAAGGGGACGGGGGGGAAGCAGGGAAGGGGAAGGGGGAAGCAGGGAAGGGGATGGGGGGGAGCAGGGAAGGGGTTGGGGGGAAGCAGTGAAGGGGTTGGGGGGAAGCAGGGAAGGGGATGGGGGGATGCTGGGTGGGGGATGGGGGGGAGCAGGGAAGGGGTTGGGGGGAAGCAGTGAAGGGGTTGGGGGGAAGCAGTGAAGGGGTTGGGGGGAAGCAGTGAAGGGGTTGGGGGGAAGCAGGGAAGGGGATGGGGGGATGCTCGGTGGGGGATGGGGGGGAGCAGGGAAGGGGTTGGGGGGAAGCAGGGAAGGGGTTGGGGGGAAGCAGTGAAGGGGTTGGGGGGAAGCAGTGAAGGGGTTGGGGGGAAGCAGGGAAGGGGATGGGGGGATGCTCGGTGGGGGATGGGGGGAAGCAGGGAAGGGGTTGGGGGTGAAGCAGGGAAGGGGATGGGGGAAAGCAGGGAAGGGAATGGGGGGAAGCAGGGAAGGGGATGGGGGGAAGCAGGGAAGGGGAAGAGGGGAAGCAGGGAAGGGGATGGGGGGGAGCAGGGAAGGGGATGGGGGGAAGCAGGGAAGGGGATGGGGGGAGGCAGGGGAGGGGACGGGGGGAAGCAGGGAAAGGGATTGGGGGAGCAAGTCGGAGGATGGGGGGAAGCAGGGAAGGGGATACGGGGAAACTGGGAAGAAGGGAAGGGTGTATGTGCGGGTTGGAAAGGGGGCGTGACAAGTGTGCGAGATGGGAAGGGAGAAGGGAGGGATGGCGAGGGCAACGACGAGTGGAAGGGGAGGGCGACGGGGGGAGAGAGAGACGGGGATTGCGAGGGGACGAGCGGGAGCGAGGGCGACGAGCGGCAGGGAGAGCGACGAGACGAAGGGGGCCAACGGGCGGAAGGGAGCGCGACGAGGGGAAGGAAGGGCGGCAGGCGGAAGGGAAGGCAACGGGAGGAAGGGAGGGCGACGAGAAAAAGGGAGAGTGTATGGGGGCGCTGTGGGAGAGTGTATGAGGGCGTTGTGGAAGAGAGTATGGGAGGTGTGGAAGTGATTTCGCAACAGCTTAGAAGCATAGTGGCTGCGAGACCGATTAGGAAAGGCGAGAAGCTGACCTTTCACGGGAAACAGTGCTGTGCGGTGCGGACGACGGGAAGGATCACAGGGAAGTCGATGGAAATGAGATGTGGGGTCGACGGGAAAGGGTAAGGCGGCCGACGAGAAGGGGATCTGCAGTCGAGGGGCTGGCGAAATTATGGCGATGGGATCGCCTACCGTTCGCGCATCGAAGAGGAAATGCGACTGAATCGACGCGGAAATGTGGGTGAAGCGAAGGGGCGTCGCGGTAGCGAATCGTAAGGGAAATGCGGGCGGGTAGAACGGGAACTGCGTGTGACGGGTAGGGGATATTAGCGCTACGGGAATGGCGCGTTCTCGCGACGAAAATGCTAAATGCGGGCGACGGGAAGGCTAAATGCGGGCGTCGCCGGATATCGGAATGCACGCGCTGTAACCCTAAAATTGTATAGGGGAAATGCGGATGGTATGCCGTCGTTCTAGTCGCATGGTGACGTTTTCCTACTTGAAGTCTAAGTATTACCGTAGCTTCTAACCTCGTGTAAGGTATGTCGAGGTGCTTTTGTTCACTCATATGCATATGCAGGCACATTCCCCTCTGAGTCGTTTGCTTGGTGCGACACCAGGTTGTCGCACTTTGTTTTCGCTAGGGTGCAACTTTCGTTATACTTCCGAACCACAGTTTGCTTGACCCCCAACCAGACCCAAACCAAGCGGTTGACTCGCTTTTGTAATTCAGACACACCTGCTTGGACTGGTCAACCCTACATTCCCTCATCCAGCACAGCTCTTTTTTCTCTCATCTACCACACCTCTCTCTTCCCGCCATAAATTTCTAGGGGGAGTTAGCTGTGTTGGGTGTTATCCGTGATCGAACCCGCGATCATCCAGGCCGGTCACTAGTGAATTAGACTCCTCATCTGTCGGTGGCTTCCGTACCGCATTTCACATTCGCACACGGAATGTCTCGAAATTGATCGCTGGCAAGGCGATTCGACGCGAAATCACGTCCATCCAGATTTGACCTAATATAAAAGCAGAGGCATATGGATCCTTTCATCAACCACTTGTTCTGGATAGTGAAGATTCTTACCGCTCCCCCTGAGTACCGTGCCTGGACGCTCTCGAATATACCCTGTCTACATTACGACTTTGGTTAGAATCAGCATCCGAGGCATCTACGATCCCCGCTTCCGCTCTCCAATCGGTTGCTCGCTGTCCTCCGCTCTCACCGGCCAGCTTTCGCGTTCAGCGACGTCACGCCAGGCGGCATCATGCCTTCCACGCGGCGCTTCCTGCTTCTCGCACTGCTTGCGCTCGTCGCCACGGCCAGTGAGTCGCATTCACTCGTCATTTCACAGGGTCCATTTCTTCTCGTCATGGCGTTCGTTCTGTCGTATGACGAGGCCCGTTCCGACAAATATGCTAATCCTCGCACCACCATCGAGCATACCTTTTTGTTTTTGTTTTTTTTTCATCTCGACCCGGGCTCATGGCCGTCCTGTTCCATCATCCTCCCCTCACCGCCTTCCCTTCCCTTCAGTCCTCGCGGAAGCCGCCGGCAAGACCCGCTCACAACCGACGGCTGGCGAAGCGAAGGCCAAGGTTGCTACTAGCACTAAGCGGGCGAGCAGCTCGGGGGCGAGCGGATCAACTCCGTCTGGAAAGAAGCCACCCCGCTCGCAGCAGCCGGCAGGGCAGACGGCTGGCAGCAAGCGGCAGAGGCAGCAAGAAACGATGGGCGTGAAGCAGCAGAGATCGGTTGATGGTCATGCGGCAGCGAACGGAACTCGTGGGACGGGAGGGAAGGGGCACGTTGTGAATGGCACGAGGCACGTGAATGGCACGAGGCCGCAGCGGGGTGGTGGTGCTGCTGGTGGTGGGCTGCGCAAGGAGGGCGGCGGTGCTGTTGGCGGGCGTGGCGGGCGAGGAGGCAGTGTGATTGGTGAGTGCGAATGCGTCATTGCACCACCACATGCTGCTGACGTCTTATTGGCTACTTGTGACCACCACATGCACCTGTTATGTTCAGTCATTGCTGCAGCCTGTGGCAAGGCGGTTGAGTTGACGCGTTGCTTGTGCGTGGCAGGTGTGGTGGGCGCGCGGATGAGTGGCGAGCAGATGGTGGGGTCAGCAGGCATGGCGAATGCCACAGGGCGGCTGGAGTTGAGGCTTGTCAAGTGAGCGCCGCTGCCTCTCCTTCTCTCTGCCACCACCCGAGTCTCCACCCCTCCCTGCACTTGCATCTGAGCCCTCGTTCCTCTGCTACTTACACTCCGTCTCACCCCTCATGTGTTGACCCTCCTGTGTTGACCCTCCCTCTTCTCTCCTCACCCCCCTTCCCCACTCCCCATCCCAGGACGGCCACTGACATGGACGTGCACCTCCGCGTTCCCCCAGGGGGCTGTGCGCGGGCAGATGGCCAACATGACCCGCGGGGGGAAGTAGCAGCGGGGAGAGAAGGGGGCGTTGAAGGGCAGATGTGCAACTTGACACGTGGTTGACAGATGGACAGATGGAAGAGGACGGGAGTTGCGAGGTGGGAGAAGGAGAGGGGAGGAGCCGCAACTGCTGCTGTGCACGAGATGTTAGAAACATGCTGCTGGAATAGGAGATGCTCAAAACACACGCCTACCACTGCCTTCGCACATTCTCCTACGTTTCTCTAGGACACACGTGTCTGTGAGGAGGAAGGGAATGACATTAGGTAGGAGTTGTCAGGTTGTGTGGCGTTTCTTGGGTGATTCGATAGACCAATGGCTGCGGAGCTTGTTGCAAGTTGCAAGCAATTTATACGGAAGATACTGGTAGAGGACCCAAGGGTTTAAGCAGGGTATCCCAATCTTATGTCTTGACATTGTAGTCACCATATCTAATCACTTGCTGGTGTAAGAGTGTGTTCTTACAGCCTCTCATCAGGCTCGCCTCAAACCAGGCTCTCAATAAGTGAACACCAGAATGAATTAACTGAGGTTGATGGAACATACGTAGTACAAAACCCTATACCCCTTACTGTGTGCCCCACTATAGACTAGCAAGCATATAAGTAGTTTTGACACACCCACATAGGCTAACTGGGGGACAACAAGAAGGAGCAAGGAACACAAATGGTCACAAGTGTTAGAATCTAAGTGAGAGAATGAATGATGAGACTAGCAACAAGGGTGATACAAATGTGGAACCCTAATGGGCTATACCCCCTAGTGAGTACCCCAAGATAGCCTACAGTGATATATAACATTTGACACACCCCCCTTGGCTAAGTGGGGGACAACAAAACGGTCACAAGACCAGTCAAGAGAAGCAAACAAAGCAAAGCTCAGGGTGGATCTCAAGATCACCACGCAGTCCGAGCACAAGCAAGTGGCCACAAGGCCAGTTCACATGCAGAGTTTATAATAGCAATTGCAGTACACTGATCACAACCTAGCAAGTGTAAACATGCAGGTATAATCATCTATATCAGAGTACAACAAGTGCAAGGCAAGATCAAGAGACAAGAAGGTGAGGCAGAGTGGGCACAAGCCCAAGAGTAGTGCCGAAACGCTGGTGATCACAAGACCCGAGGGCCTTGGTGAAGACATCAGCAGTGTTGGCCTGTGAGGCCACGTACGAAAGGCGAAGCTGACCACGCTGCTGCAGCTCTCGTGCGAGGAAGTAACAAAGCGCAAGATGCTTCGTTCTGTGCTCCAGTCTCTGGTCCTGACACAAGGCAATCATGGCCTTATTGTCGACGTACAGATCTGGAGGAGAACGAGGCCGCTCACCCAAGTTGGTCAGCAGTTAGGTCAGCCAGCGGAGCTCCTGTGCAGCCATAGCCCCAGCGTAGATCTCGGCCTCACAGCTGGAAATAAGTACAGAAGACGAGTGAGTGGACCTCCACGAGACAGAACCAGTGCCAAGGCTGAAATTGTAACCCTGTGTCGACCGGTGAGTCGTCTGGTCGTCAGCCCAAGAAGCGTCTGAGTGACCGGTGAAAACAACTGGACCCTGTCCCCCAAACACAAGCCCCATGCCTAATGTACTGCACAAGTAACGCAGTACCCTCTGTGCAGCTGTCCAGTGCTCCTTCCTGTGTCTACCTGGCGCAACGTAGTGAGCAAGGAGGCTGAGAGGGTAGGCGAGGTCAGGTCGTGTGCACGTCATCAAGTACATGTGGCAACCCACAAGCTCTGGATGCGCACCACTCGGCTCTACGGACTCGTCCGAAGGTGGAGGTGAGAGCGAGTGGCCTGTAGGCAGAGGAGTGGGCTGTGGCGAGGAGAACTGGAAGCCGAATTGCTGAAGGACCTACTGCACCATGTGTGACTGAGTCAGGGTGATGGTGCGCCGTGCTCTGTCCCAGGTGATCTGCAAGCCAAGATAGCTCCGCAGCTCACCCATGTCAGTGCAGGTGTGTCTCTCCTACACCTCCGCCTTCACTAGGGCCATTTCCCCAGTGTCAGCAGTAGCAAAAACCAAGTCGTCGACGTACACGAGGACGTAGAACGGCGGCAGAGAAGTGTCTGTGCGCAGAAACAGCAAAGGGTCAGTAGTCGAGGGAGCGAAACCAAGAGCCGCAAGCGTAGTCCTTTGTGTGTCGTGCCACTCACGGGGCGCCTGACGCAGACCGTACACTGGCCGCCGGAGGCTCCACTGGGTACCCTCAGGAAACGACCCAGTGAAACTACGAGGGCGGCGTAGCCAGATAGCCTCGTGAAGGCTGCCCTGCAAGAAGGCTGTCGAGAAGTCGAGGGAGTTCAGCTCGTAGTCACACTGTGCTGCAACGTGCAGTAACACCCAAAGAGTGGTCATCTTCGGGGTGGGTGAGAAGGTCTGGAAGAAGTCGACCCCTTCACGCTGACTCAAGCCTCGTGTAACGTAACGTGCCTTGTAGGCAGGCGGAGAACCCGGTGGCCGCTTCACCCTGAAAATCCACATGTCATCGACTATGTTTGCCCCAGGTGGGGGAACTGCGTCGACGTAGGTGTCTGTGGACTTCCAGCAAGCCATCTCTGCGTCCATGGCTATCTGCCACTAAGAGGAGTACGGACCCGTGATTGCGTCTGCGTAAGAGCGCGGGGTCGGGATGTCCAATGCATCCGGGTCTCCCTTAGGGCAAAGTAGCTTGGACGCGAGATGAGGTGCAGCGGCCGCTAGGCACCAGCTCAAACTGCCTGTCCTCAAGGACGTCACAGCCAAGGGAAAGCTCACCCCTGACGGACGGAGGACAGGAAGAGTAAAAAACAAGACTCACAGCGTAGTCAAGGCGGCACAGAGCAGCAAAGTCAACAAGCTCAGCGACTAAGGCAGACGCAGCAGGAGACGAAAATGCAGGGTCAGTCACAACCGTGGCAAGAAGACGAGTGACAGTCGGACTGACAGCACGAACAAGGTCAGACTCAGGGTCAGGAACATGAGGAAGAGAAGACGCAGGAGGCGACTGCAGGACAACACGCTGTGGAACAGAGGAAGGACAAAGTGCTATGATGTGCGTGCCTGGGACAGGTGGAGGACGAGGACAGGCAGCTCGACGAGTACGGACAGGCGTGACAGGACGCGACGCAGGCTCTCTACTCTCAGTGAGGGACTCTGTCACCGCAGTGTAAGGAGCAGGAGCAGGCAGTGGGGAGTGAGGCAGTAACTGTGGCTGAGACTGGTCAGGCGGTGGAAACAGTAACGGAGGAGTAGTGCAACAGGGAAATCAGAAACAGCAGGCGGGAGACTGAGAAGGTGACGGAGCGCAGACGGCTGCTGCTGAGTAGTCACACCCCCAGCACCTCCATCTCCAGTAGTAACAGCACCCCTAGGACCAGCACCTCCAGCTCCACCACCGGGGCTGCCCCACGGGACAGCCCACTCGCGAAGCTGCCGCGGTGAGAGCGACTCCTGCCGACTGGCACCAGGACCTCTAGCACCACGGACTCCAGTACCTCCAGTAGCACCTCCAGGGTCAGCACCTCCAGTGCCAAAACCTCCAGCACCTCCAACTCCGGTAACTCCAGGAGCACCTCCAGGGTCAGTACCTCCAGCACCAGTACCTCCAGTACCTCCAAATCCTGTAGCTCCAGTAGCACCTCCAGTGTCAGTACCTCCAGTACCAGTGCCTCCAGTACCTCCAACTCCAGAAACTCCAGTAGTACCGCCAGCTCCAGCACCTCCAGCTCCGCCACCGGGGCTGCCCCACCGGAAAGCCCACGCACGATACTCCTGCGGCGAGAGGGTCTCCAGCCGCAGCACTCCCGGCAGTGGGGACCTGCGGGTCCAAAGTGTGGCGCCCCCAGCAGTGGCTCAGCTAGCAGTGGGCGAGACGTCGGCCCCTGCGGGTACCGGGCCCTGATAGGCCCTGGTGCTGGCACTACCTGCTGGAGTCCTTACCACTCTGCGTCCAGCTGCTACCGTCGACTCGACAACCTCCACCGTGAGCGTTTTGATCCTCACACTATTACACCGCACTGGCCCTCGCGTCTTCGCCAGCGCACTGCTGCACCAGTTGAGTCTCACTTACCTGGTCTAGGACCTATCCCGGTTGCACAAGTAGAGACATGTGTTTCCATTCTTGGTGCGTGTGTTGTTTCCAGTCCAGGCGCCTCTGAGGGTCTTTGTGTAGGAGCTGCAACTACCACTAGTCTAGCACCAGCCTTTGTCGCTGGCTCGGGTGCAACCTCACAGACTGCACAGCTTTCCTTCACCTTAGACTCTGGAGCATCCTACTGTTTCTTTCGCGACAGTACTGACCTCACACCACTGCGCACTCCAGTCACTGTTGTTTTGGCTGACTCCTCTGTGGGACCTGTAGTTGCCCGCAGCACCACCACTCTCCCTTGTCCGGCGGCTCCCTCTGGGTTCCTCACAGGTTACTACACCCCCTCGTTCTCCAGGAACCTGGTGGGTGTCAGTCACCTCCACGACCTAGGTGTAGTCACTACTTTCCCACTGGACGAGCCTGTTGCCTCCTGCACAGTCGGTGCCACTAGGGCCACTCTGGCCACTTTTCACAGGGAGCCGAGCTCTGGTCTGTACTCACTACACACTGGGTCCCACCACACAAGGTCAGGTCAGGTCAGGTCATGTCAGGTCAGGTATCTGCTGTGTCGTGCGACTGTCGGTCCCTCACCCACCCGTCGGTCCTCTGGCACCACCGTCTAGGTCACCCGTCGTTCCCACGTCTGAGTAGGATGGTACGTCACCATCTGGTTTCAGGTCTCCCAGAGTCGCTTTCCCCGCTTCCTCGCTCGCCAGCGCCGACGTGCACTCCTTGCGTCGAGGGTCGGCAGCGCGCTGCCCCTCACTCCTCCTCGTTCGCCCCCACCATGGCTCCCTTCCAGACCCTGCACTTGGACGTCTGGGGCACCTCCCCGGTCCTTGGCCCACGTGAGGAGTGCTACTTCCTGATTGTGGTGGACGACTACTCTCGCTACACCACGGTTTTCCCCTTGCGGCGGAAGGCCGACGTGCCTACCGTCCTCGAGCCGTGGCTACTAGCGAGGGGTGGCGCCCAGGGCCTGTGTGGGCTTCGCCTACA